ATATTACTAGAAGTGGGATCACTGTGTCAAATGGAACGTTCCATTTTTAGTTTTTTGAGGAAACTCCATACTGTTCTCCACAGTGGCTGCACCAGTCTGCATTCCCACCAGCAGTGCAAAAGGGTTCCTTTTTCTCCACATCCTCACCAGCACTTGTCGTTTGTTGATTTGTTGATGATAGCCATTCTGACAGGTGTGAGATGATACCACATTGTCGTGTTGATTTGCATCTCTCGTATAATTAGTGACTTTGAGCATGTTTTCATATGTGTCTTGGCTTTCTGAATGTCCTCTTTCGAAAAGTGTCTATTTAGGTCTGTTGCCCATTTTTTGATTGGATTGTTTATCTTCCTTTTTTTAAGTTGTATGAGTTCCCTATAAATGTTGGAGATTAAACCCTTATCGGTGATAACATTGGCAAATATGTTCTCCCATGCAGTGGGCTTTCTTGTTGTTTTGTTGATGGTTTCCTTTGCTGTGCAAGAGCTTTTTATTTTGATGTAGTCCCATTTGTTTATTTTCTCTTTAGTTCCCATTGCCCTAGGAGCAGTATCAGAGAAGAAATTCCTTCGGCATATGTTTGCGATTTCACTGCCTGTGGATTCCTCTAGTATTTTTATGGTTTCCTGTCTTACGTTTAAGTCCTTTATCCATTTTGAGTTTATTTTTGTGTATAGTGTGAGTTGGTGGTCTAGTTTCATCTTTTTGCATGTACCTGTCCAATTTTCCCAACACCATTCATGTTGGGAAAATTGGACAGATACACCCAGCCTTTCTTTTTCACTGTGGGTTCTGCGCAGGCGTTTTGAGTTGCAACATTGAACGTGTGCCACCTAGTGTTCTCACACAGCCACTGCAGGCTGCCACGGAAGGCCCGGGCAAGAGCATCCCCACTTGTTAAAGTGATGGATGATTCCCTTTTAATTATTTGAAGAGATTTGGGATTTGTAAATTATAAATCTCTACTCTTTAAGTAGAGAACCCATGCTCCATAATCCTCTACTGATGTGCATTCTAAAAGAAACCAACTAACAATGTCCACAGATAAATCCATTATGTGCTCAGGAACTGGCTTGCAGAACCATGTTTCAACAGAAGAGAGGCGGGTTATTTCTTGGTTTTGATCTCAGTTAATCACGCTGCTTCTCAGCTTCACTGTAAATAATAATAGTTATTAACAGGTTACTGGATATACACCCAGAAAATACCATAAAAGTTTCTATGTATTCAGAATGGAAAAGTCAAACAAGAAGGAAAAAGCAAAGTGCATGTCTGGAAGAAAAGTGATTCATCAAATTTGCCAGAACAGCTTTTGGGATTCACACACAGACCACATGCCTCTGAATATGAGTGCTGAAGATGAAGCCACTGCCGTGTGCGCACAGGCAGGCAGAGCCTGAAAACGAACCGGTGGAAAACCAAATTCAATGGTAAAATAGGACATTCCTGCTGTCCCAGAGTTCCAGCCTCTGACCACTCCAGAGCCGCTCTATAAATGTGATGCTAGTAGACACCACTGGATACTAATCACTAGTGTCCCAAATGGCAAAGAAAGGATGACCCGGGTGTAGAACAGGACTACCACGGAAATCAAAGGGAGAAGCAGGGAAGTTCCTACTCAATCTATTAAAAGAAGATGAGAGCTTGGACCTGCGTTTCCTTTATGCAATGTGTTCTAGCAAATCAGCTCAATCCATGCCGTAAATGCCCCCCGGCTGGGTGGAACCCGCCTGCTCCCTCCACGAAGTGCACTTGCCTCTTCACTTTCTGGCTATCCAAGTATTTCAGACCTTCGGCTGCTCGCTACCTGCTGCCACAACGTGTTTAGTTTTTAAAATGGATAAGATGCCAGGAGGTAGGGGGGCTCTGCTGAGGCAGCAGGGGCAGAAATTTTTATTTTGAAACCAGTCTCCCTTGCTGCCCCAGAGCTGTGAACTGCTTTTTCTCATCCCTGGCCTTGACTGATGGCTTTTAGAATGAGACTCTTCACACTTCCCGCGCACATAATTTCAGGGTCACTGAGTCCCCTCATCAGCCCAGCGTGCTCACAGGCCAGGCATGCGTTCCAGTGACATCAAATCACAAAAGCGAACTTAAGCTGCTTTTCTTATCAAGGGAATCCTCCAAATAGAATGAAAGTCTTAATTTATGCTTCCTTGGAAGCCATCACTTACCCCTGACTCCTTACAGCATCCTTGTGAGGGAAGAGGCAAACATTTAACCCACTGTGTCCTGTCTGATTGCTAAAATGGGACCCACCATAACACCCACAATCCCCGCAGCAGCCCAGAGCCCAGACCCAGGCTCGCATCTTCCCTGTAAAAATGAGGAAAGACAGAACTTCCTTGGAGCCCATCTGTTGGCATGTTTTCTCCATCCTACCAAAATCAGCTCCTTCCCGCTCTTCTCTTCCCCATCTGGCCTGGCGATGTCCATGTACACACGATTTCCAGTCTGGGAAATGTCACCAGGAGGCCATCCATAACACGAGGTTTGCCCTTCTCCCGCCTCCTCTCACTGCCCCAGTCCTTTCACTAAACTCTGGGGGATGAACAGTCGAGGATGATGGGGAGCTCTGGACGCTGGCTTCCTTTCTCATGGACCAGCTTTTCTGTGGGCTGTGCACCCCTTCTTATCTCCCACAGCTCCCAGAACTGCACTGGTTCCCTTCCCTCTGCCCTCACCTCCTACCTCAACAACTCAAAGAAAGACAAAGCCAGCACAGAAGAGATGCACAGGGACGAGTGGCTGTGCCCGCGGGGCCGGCGCCGTGGGCAGAGGTGAGGGAGAGGCCAGCAGTCATCTGGACTGTGAACTGTACAAATGACACCAGTGCTTGCTCTCTGCCCTCAGTGTCTCCCGTTATTCTCATCCTGGCTCAGCAGTGACCACTACAAGCCACTTGCCACTTAAAGGAGGCCTGAGAACATGAAAGAACAGAATCATCAGGAAGAAATCTTGCCTTCTATCATTTTCTGATTGTGTGTGTACATGTGCGCAAGAGAAAGAGTATGGGTGGGGCAGGGGAAGAGAATACACACGAGAGGGAAATTTTACTATGATTTGATGTAATTCACAGACAAAACGCAGTGCCTCTTATAAAAAATAAAAAGGCAGTAAGGAAACGAAGCCCTGGTCGGTACGCTCAGTGGTTGGAGCATTGGCCCTCACATCGAAGGGTCTCAGGTTCGATTCCTGGTCAAGGGCATATACCTCAGTTGCAGGTTTGTTCCCTGGCCCTGGTTGGGGCGTGTGCAGGAGGCAACCAATTGATGTGTCTCTTTCACATCGATGTCTCCCCCTCCCTTCCACTCTCTCAAAGTC